TATATTATTTTTCCTTGTGTAATCACATGTTTATAAATCAATTTAACAGCTCCCTATAGATAATCAAGTCAATTATAATTATTCTTTTATGAGAGTCAACCACATGAAATCTACTGTCAAAAATTTAAAACTGGCAATTTTAAAACACAGACTGCCTCTTAACATTTGAAAAACACAGTTTATGTAATAAGAAACTATTTAAATTTCCTTACTGGAAGTATTTTAAACCCCTAATTCAGAAAGTTAAAATGTTGCAATAGTTTTCCCCCAAGTAAGGGACAACTAATTATTGAGTAATAGGTTAGTAGTCACTACTAATAGGTAGTATAAACACTAGCTTTCCATCTCTTACGATACATAAGAGAAAGGGCGACTTTTCCCTCCTCTTGGTAAGATATAATTAAGCTATTTAGAAAAATTGATCATAGTCTAAATCTATTTTTTTTTCCAATAAAGGCTTCCTACGTGTGGAGGAAAGAGATACCTTTTTGTATGGTAGTGTCTGGATAACCTTCAGAAAAATGAAATTTTAAAGCGTTATAAGGACGTAGATCAGTGGTAAACTGTATTGAAAACATTTTTTTACGAATTTTAAGTCAAATCTTCTCAAATGATTAGTTAATAGGAACAGTGAACATCACTGACAGGAAAAAGTTGACGGGATTATTTATATACAAGAAAAGGACTCTGTTTTCTACCAAAACAAAACAAAAACCCTAGTGATCAATTTGTCTTGTATCACTACAATACACATTTTCCTTTTTTTTTTTTCACACTTAAAGTAGATAGATATGCCAGCATTTATATGACTTGCACGTGAGGGTACAGGGAAGATCCTAAGCCTACCAGCACATTAACTTTCAAGTTTTTTTCCCCAGTAATTCCATTCTAACAGGCCTTTGTGAGGTCAGATGGAAATGTCAGTATCCTTTATAACTGACTGAGAAAAATCAAGAGAGACATATATGGCACTTGCTAACTGAAACCTGAAAATTCTAATCATGACTTACCTACTAGAGCATCTGCAGGAGCATCTGAAAGCATCGTGCACCAGCTCCTTCCTTACAGAGGCTAAGGAGCAGACACCAACTGTCTGCTTTAGGCTACTCTAACGCCTAGGTTTAGGTCCCTATGCCCTGCACTGCTCTAACAGTTTCAAAACACAGAAAGTTCAGATCAAATACTGAGTGTTCCTACTTCTAGTTCTTAACTCTCTAATAGAAAGGTAACACTTCAAGCATTTCCTTGTAATAACATATTCTAAAATAGCTAAATTAACATGTCTAATAAATGTATTATACGACTAGACATCTTATTTCTTTGATCTCATATTAGTTTCACTTAAGGTACTTGTAGATGAATGTTACTTTAACAGATACTTGTTAGTGAGCAATTCTGATTTAGTTTTCAAATAAAATCTTTAATACTATTTAACCAAACACCCAAAGTGCTTTTGCAGCGACGAGTCCTTTCAAGTTTCTAACATGCCCATGTATTCAAAAGACCATTTGTACTGAGTTATTTGCAGAAGTATACAAATCTCTAGAAAACACATACTGATAAAAGAATTCTAAAGTTTATCCAACTATCTTAAATGTATCATTCTTATGAAACAGAAAAGTGCTAACTTACCTTGAATATCCATTAGAAAACACTGAGCGGCCTGGGAAGTTCATAGTCCCCAAGGAAGTCAGGTTGTCCTCTCCAGATCCTTGGCACCTATTCCAGTTTTCAGAACCAACAGGAATTGGTGGAATGACATTAAAAACAGGCTTCTGATCCTGCTGCTGAGAAAGGGATGCTGTATTCATGTCATAGTGGTACATCTGTCCTCCAGAGGTACTCACACCATGAACAGAAATGGCAGACATTTTATTACCAATTATATTTGTCCCAGAAAAGCTTGCCTGACAATAAACTGGGCCCAGTTTCTCTTGCTTAATTACCCCGGGGGTGCAAAGTTCAATGAAATCATCTTTTTCTGTTTTCACTTGGGGCAGTGTCACACTGCTGGGGCTTGATAAGATTGTATCTCCAGTATCCTTAATTTTAGGTTTAGTGTCCGGTAAAATAAGAGGCTTACAATCCTCATTCGCGTCCCCTTCCAGAAGGAATGGATCATCTTCTCCTGTCAAAGGAGAAAGCAAGTTTTCATCTATCAACAGGTCTGATCTCCAAGGACTCTCATTTGTCTCTTTACCTGGGGACCCAGCAGAAAACTCCAAATCCTGCAAGATGTCAAAGGTGCTTTGGTCTGTGGTATACAACTTCACACTACCACCGTTGGTGCTGGTCTGGCTTTTTCGATTTTGCTGTTCTGAAGATGGATCAGAGTGAGTTTGGGGAAACTCCTTCTCTGTCAGGGTAGCACACCCAGCTGCAGACGTTGAACTCTTGGGGTTCTCTGGAAGGCTGGTCGACCTATTAAGGTTTGCAATGCTTTCTTCCAGAAGCCGAAAATCTGTTTCCCCAGAGGAAAGGCCAAGCTGGCCCTGCTGTGGGTAGCCCAAGTCATTCCCCATCACTTTTGTTTCTGTCTCTCCCATGTACAGTCCCATGGACAGTGAAACGGCTTTGGATAAATCTGGCTGCTGTGGCTGCTGCTGCTGCTCATTGCTTGTTGAGCCTTTTGAAAAATCAAGAATCCTTTGCTGCTTGGAGTCCGCCTGAGAAGCAGCAGCCACTGAGGGTGAAGACGTAGAAACCTTGACTGTAGCTCCTCCCCTCAGGCTTTTATAAAAGTCCATCACGCTTCCCCTCCCCCGGCCAAGCAAACTGCTGGGGACTTCGTCTCTACCAGGGGGAGCTAAGGATTCTTTGGAGTCCATTGGCAAATATTAACTACAAAAAAAAAAAAAAAGACATAATAAGCTATAAAACCACATTATCTCTGATCCGATTAGTAAGAGACAGCCTATTAAATAAACCCTTTAGGTAACTCCCAAATCAAAGCCTCCATTATCAGAACAGTTCCTGTCTTGTAAAATAATACTATATCCCCCTGCTCCCATCCACAAGGCAGCTCATTTGCAAGGCATTACACTGAATTGATTCGAATCTGTTTATCCTGCCACTCGCTAAATGTACACATTTGGTAACCATGGGGATTGTAATTTGTTATGTGATTATTTTAAAGGTTCAAATTGATGTCAATGTATTTAGCTTTTCTTTTTTTTTTTAAGGCATGATACTTAAATTTCCAATCCCTTTCAATTAAGAGTGATTCCTTTTCGGGAACCACTACATAAACCGTTTGATAAATGCTACAATATAGTTGTTTACACACCTTATGATTCACAATTTCACCTGTGCCAATCCCCACACATCTAAACCTTTCAGGGTACAACCTTGAAGAATTAACACACATTTCGGGAAAAAAAAAAAAAAAAGCAGTGCTGAGCTGCTTATCTTGGGCTAGGGAAAGGCTCTTACTTTGAAACTCCGTTTTCAACTAAATATGCCTATCTTCTATCATCTACCTCAAACTTTGGATATAAGATACAATATATATTATATACAGTCTAAAATGTACATCTTTAAAAGCAGAGTCGAATTTGTACTGGCTTCTTCACTACAATTTTAACCTATTTAAATAGTTTATTAGAGCAGAGCTTATCAAAATTCCTAACACCGAGATTTACCGAGTTATATTCCTTTTTAAAAATTGTTTAATATGCTCAATACAAAATATTTTACTATAAGTTCAAGATTTTTCTTTCCAAATATGAAAATATCGGGAAAAACAGATAGAAAAACTGGGCTGTAAAACCACATATAAAGTCAAATAAAACCTATTTCAAGAAAATCTCCAAATAATTCTTTGCAGTTTTAAACCTTTATTGTATTCCTCCAGATCACTAGTATATTATTAATAATCAAAATGTTTTGAGAGGCTAGCGAACACCACTACAAATATATTTAGAATCTCCTCCCATAAAATGGTAAACTTCCTGTATCAAGACACTAAGTAGTATGACCATCTTCTCTGAAAGGGGAATTCGAGGAAGGTGGAGAGAGGGCTGGGATCTGCCCTAGGATTCTTCCCCTACAGAGCTTCTCTCAGAACCGGGGTCCTTTGCCTCTGATAACATGAGATATCAAACAGACCTTAATGAATTTTCACGTCCGCTTTTTTTTTTTT